AGGCTATTCAAGCCTGTTACCTCTAAATGAGAATTGTACTTCTTAGATCATCTGTCCTAAAGTCATTCTCATGTCACATTTTCTGTCTTATTGGTTCAGAGTGTTCAGTCTCACTTGTCAGTTGCTTATTATTATTTCTCTTTATAAAATAAAGATAAACATGCCAGATCTTTCTCTGGTGTAATGCTATAATGCATTCCTACAAAACTTAATATTTACAGACTGTAGATACTTAGTACCTGTTAACACCAGAGAAGTTGGTGACTGAAGTTCTCTGCAGTTTCATTTTCATGTGGAATGTAGCTGTCAATCTTCCATTTGCTTTCATTGCTGTAATAGATGAATTAATATAAAAGAACCAAAGGCAAATAGACAAGTAGAAAATAAAATACAGACAAGGTCTAAAATAGTGCCAGTTCATGGAATTTAAGATCAAAATAACTCATGAATGACTGAAGCAGGGAGGATAGGTTGTATTTATCTGAGACATCTACACTTCTTTCTCATTTCACTTCTGAGTGCTGACAGGCAATGAATGCCTGGGCTTGAAATTATTTGTAACTAAACAGAGGAGATCAGATCATGAATTACCACAGCAGCTTGCAAAGCAGCATGATATTATAAAATATAGATATATACTAATATAATAATTACATATATTAAGAAATTTATATTGATAAAATTTTATCAAAATACCGTAATCTTATACATCAGTTTTTATATACATTCTTTGGTTTTGATGCATTAGTCCATGACATTTTATCACATGTATTGGTTCTTGTACCACCACTAAAATCATGACACAAAATTGTTTTGTCTCTTAAAGAAATTCCCTCTGCATACTCCCCCCATCCCTGCAGCTCTTTCTAACCCTGACTACTGATCTCTTTTTCATCTCTAATTTTGTTTTTTGAGAATGTTGTATAAGTAGAATCACAGTATGTATACAATCATAATAATCCAATAAGTGTAATCATACACCATGTAGCGTCTGAGATTGACTATTTCTTCATTCAACATAACATCCTGAGATGTTACAGCCATTTAGGCTATTGCTTTATAGCTGCTAAGTCATGTCCCACTCTTTTGCAACCTCACTAACTGTAGACTTCTAGGCTCCTCTGTCCTTGGAATTTTCCAGGGAAGAATACTAGAGTGGGTTGCCATTTCCTTCTCCAGGGGATCTTCCCCTCCCAGGAATCAAATCCCTGTCTCCTGCATTGCAGGCTGATTCTTACCACTGAGCCACCTCGGAAGCCCTGTCTAAGCTACTGCATGTATCAATAGTCTGTTTCTTTTAATCACTACAGACTGTCCCAACTTATGATGTCTTGACTTTGGATTTTTGACTTTACAGTGGTAAGAAAGTGATGCACATTCAGTACAAACCACACTTTGAAATTTTAAATTTGATCTTTGTCCATGCTAGCAACATTTGCTATATATTCTTTGGTGATCTGGGCAGCATCAGTAAGCTGAGCTCCTGGCCAACCATGAGATCATGAGGGTAAAAAACTGACACACTTACCTTCATTCTGTAATCATACAACTATTCTATTTTCCACTTTCAGTACAGTACTCAATAAATTACATGAGATTTTCAACATGTTAGTATAAAATAGACTTTGCATTAGATGATTTCTCCCACCTAAAGACAAAGTAAGTAGGCTAAAGTAAAAAAAAAGTAAGTAGGCTAAAGTAAGTGTAGAGCACCTTTAATGTAGGCTAGGTTAGGTATATTAAATGCATTTTTGTTATCTTTCAACTGAAAATGGTTTGTTGAGGCACAACTCTATTATAAGTTGAAAAAAATCTATAATCAATATGTCATTGTACAGAGGTACAACAGTGGATTTATTTATCTATTCACCCAATGAAGAATACTTGACTGGTTTCCAACTTTTGGTCATTACAAATATAGCTGCTATGAATATTCATGTACAGATTTTTGTATTAATATAAGGTTTTCATTTTCAAGCATAAATACTCAGGAGTGTGATTGCAGAGTTGTAAGGTAAGTGAATATTTAAGTTTATGTGGAACTGCTGAACATTTTTCCAGAATGACTGGACCATTCACCCACCAGCAATATATGAGGGCTCCAATTTCTCTGCATCTTTGCCAGAACTCGATATTGCCAGTATTTTTAATTTTAGTCTTTATGGTAGATGTGAAGTAGTATCTCTTTGTGCCTTAATTTGCATTTCGCTATTGACTAATAATGTCGACCATCTTTTTTTCTCTTTATTTTTTAAATGGTGAAAGTATACATTAGATTTAGAAAACAAAGCATAAACTACAGTTCCACTATATATTACAACTATTTTTTATGTAAATAAATTAAAAATTTCGGTTGGAGTTTCAATGGCAAACTCTCAAAAATTAATAGAATGGATATACAGAAAAGTAGGAGGGTACAGTAGACCTGAAAAGCACTATGAATCAACCTAATTAAGATTTATGCAATTTTCACACAATAGTAGGATGCAAATTCTATTCAAGATCCCATAGACTATAAACTAGGAGATACAGGTACCTATCCAGGGACATAAAACAAGGTGCAAAATTTCATGGTTTAAAGATATTGAAATCCTACAGTCTATTTTCTAATCACTGTGGAATTATACTAGAAATCAGTATCAAAAGATACTTGAAAATAACCCACATATTTTCCAGTGCAATGTGACATTTACTAAGAGGGATATTTGACTTAGCCTGACCATCTTTTTATATGCTTATTTCCTTACCACATAGCTCTCTGGTGAAGTGTCTGTGTAAATCTATTGTCCAGTTTTCAACTGGATTGTTTTCTTCCTGCTGGGTCTAGAAAGTTCATTGTATTCTAAACACAATCTTTTGATGAAAATGTATTTCCTATCATTTCTGTGGTTTATCTTTTTCCTTCTCTTAGTGTCTTTCACAGAGCAAACTGTCTTTCACATAGCAAATTCTTAATTTTGATGAAATCTAAGTTTGTTTATGGATCGTGCTTTTGGTGTCATGTCAAAATTCTTTTTGTCTAACCCTAGGTCATGAAGATACTCTCTTATGTTTTTCCTAAAAGATTTGGTAATTTTACATTTTACACTTGGATGTATGGTTAATTTTGAGGCTGTACCCAAATTTTTCTATGAGGTGTGATATTTAGGCCAAGTTAATTATTTCCCAAGAATATCCAATTACCCCAACATCATTTGCTCATAAGACTGTGTTACCTCCACTGAACTGTCTTTGCACTTTGTCAAAAAAATAAATCTTCCCTACTTGTGTAAATCTACTTCTATACACTTACTCAGTGACATAAACTTGTTAATTTTATTCTTTTATTACCCTTTTAATATTATAGAACTTGTAGAATAATTTTCTTTTTAGTTACTTATATTTATAATTTGTGTTTTTTTCTTTTTTCCTTTGATAATTCTACCTAGAAGTATTTCAATGTTATTGACCATTTTAACAAAATTAACTTTGTATTTCCTGGCTATCCCTATAGCTTTCTTTGTATTTCACCAATCCAAGAGTTTATTATTTACTTCTTTCAGTTTATGTTGGGTTTAATTTGCTTTTCTATCATCTTTCGCTAAAAGCCTAGATGATAGTTTTTAAACCTTTTTTCTTTAGTTAAATAAGCATTTAAAAAGATAAATTTCCTTTTATGTATTATTTTAGCTGCATCTCATACATACTTATATAATGTGCTCTCACAATATTTACTTTCAAAATATTTTCTAAAGTCATAGTAATTGTTTCTTTAACCTATGTTTATTTTTAAGTTAGTGCATATATTCCAAATATTTGAGAGGTTCTATAGACATCTCTTTGTACTAGATATTCTGTATCATTTCCATTTTGGTTGAAGAATAAATTCTATATAATTTCAGTTTTCTTAAATATATTAAGATTTTTAAGACCAAACAGATTTTGTGTGTGTGTGCATGTGTATTTCATCTACACAGCAGGGTGTGGCTGTAGCTAAGCTGCAGGTTTGGGTACAGGCTGCAGGTGCCCAGGGAGTACCGGGCACTTGGTGCACAGATGTAGGTGGCTGAGTCTCCAGGCTGGGGAGTTGCAATGTACAATAAGAGCTGTTTGGCACTCTTATTGAGGGAAAATGAAACTTTCATCTTCTATTTCATTCATAATTGAACTTATGGCTATCAAGAATGCAGGGTCTTTACCAGAATATTGCCAGTACCACAGGAGATAGTCAAACGCACCCTTCTAATAACTTCAGTTCAGAATTGACATCTCTCCTTCCTGGACTGTCAAAGATTGAGGGCTCTGTTTCACCTGCTCTTGATCACATTTTTCCCTCTGTTGTCCACTCACCCCTACCTAAAGAGATAAAAAGTTGTTAGATCTACAGACACCTATTTCTTTCTTAGAGTTTCTATCTGTATGAGCTTGTTTGTAATCCAGTTTTCTCAGTCCACCTAATTGATGAGATATCCTAGATGTTCTCCTCACAAGTCATAGCCTAGTTGAAGCCACAGAATCAAAATGATGCTCCCAGTATCTTTTCATTGTTCCTGGCATCAGTGCTTAGTGACAACTCAAGTTCCTTTTCTGCTCTTCTCAGCCAACTAGAACTCTAAGTTCATATCTGCTTTAATTCTTTCAGTAGGCCCCACCCTCTCACAAACTGGATAATATCTTTATTGGAATAATTTCATTTAATTCCTTTCACTTTTTAACATTTTTGAGTTCAGCATGTGTACTTAGTCACTCAATCAGTCCAACTGTTTGAGACCCCATGGACTGGAGCCCGTCAGGCTCCTCTGTCCATGAGATTTCCCAGTGTTTCCCAAGAATACTGGAGTGGATTACCATTTCCTCCTCCAGAGGATCTTGCCAACCCAGGGATCAAACCCATGTCTTCTGCATCTCCTCCACTGGTTGGCAAACTCTTTACCACTGAGCCACCTGGGAAGCTGTGGTTAAATATTTATTTTAATTCTGTCCTCATATCAACTACTCTGCTAGTTCCCTGTTAGAAGTTTCTAGTACAGAAGGACATATATGTTGAGAAGGAAAGATAAAGACCAAAGTCCATAATCTGTAGGGCCAAAAATTATCTGTGGTTAAAACTGTCCTGATGTAGGCGAGTAACATGAAGCACTGCAAATGCCCTGTGGGGCCTCACGGTGTGACTGAGGCTGGAGGAGGGGCTGAGCCCCGGGAGGGTTCGTGTAGAGGCCGCAGGTGCCTGGGGAGCACCGTGCTGCGCAGCACAGAAATGAGTGCCCGAGTCTGTGGTCCGCGGAGAGGAAATGTGTAGTGAGCTGCGGCGTTCTGCAGGGACTGTGATGGCCTTTAATCTTCCTTCCTGCTTTGTCCCTGAAGGAACGGAAAACATGTGGATGAGGTGGCCCCCAGGGTTCTGAAGATACCAGTTCACACTCTGTGAGAAAGTGGAAAAATTACACTGAAGCGCGTAGCTGGCTCCCTCCTGGAGACTCAGGGCTGGGGGACTCTGCTCCACATCGGCCCCTCGTACACCTGATGAGGAAAGAGAAACAGTCACTGTGAGGGTCACTGTAACTCCTACTAAACCCTGAAAGTGCCCTCCGCCCCATCCCCACAGACAATGAGAAGGATACAAAGTCTGCAGGACTTGTCAGCTCCTCTCCCTCCCTCAACAACAGAGCAGCGCCTCACTCCTCCAGGTTCCCTGTAGGGCAGCCCCAACTCACAGCAAACCTGGGCAAACAGAAGCCCCAGCACAGTGCCTGCTAGCCTCTTCATGATGCTTCCTCTTCTTGTTGGGACATTTTCACTGCAAGACACCTAACCAAACCCTGAGGGAGTGAGTGTCATAAGTCGTTCCTGCTCCTGCAGCCAATCAGCTCACCCAACAGATGCTGCTCAGGTGACGCTGACAGGACGCCCCACCCCCCACCGCAACCAACTCAGAATGCGCTGGCCAGGGGCGGGTGAGAGTAGGAAATAGAAAGATCGTTATTTTATGATTTGAGGGACATTTTCTGAGAACATTTAGGAGAAGGCAGACCCTGATTAGGAATTTGGGAGAATTTTAGGGAAAAGAAAGCAAAAGTTAACTGTATAGCCCTGTCTTCCTCTCACATGGCCTGGATGCAGTAGATTCTTCTGTAATGAAGTACTGTTTCCAGAAGCGCTGAGGATGCAGCTTTTGCTTCTTTTATGCACTTACTTGTGGTTCTGAAGGGTGCTCATGAATCAGCACAGTATAGGAAGTTGCTTCTATTGGCTGGAATGCTTTGCTGTATTAACCAGTATTATTTTTTAAATTTATTTTTAAAAATTAATTTATTTCTAATTGGAGGATAATTGCTGTACAGTATTGTGTTGGCTTTTGCCATACAAGGATGTGAGTCAGCCAGAAGTACACACACATCCCCTCCCTTTTGAACCTCCTCCCAACCCCCCTAGGTTGTCACAGAGCACCGTGTTGAGCTCCCTGCATCACACAGCAACTTCCCACTAGCTGTCTCTTCTGCATACGGTAATGCATATGTTTCAGTGCTACTCTCTCAATTTTTCCCTCTCTCTCCTTCTCCTACTGTGTCCAAAGTCTGTTCTCTATGTCTGCATCTCTATTTTTGCCCTACAAATAGGGTCCATCAACAGATGAACAGATAAAGAAGTTGTCATACTTATATACAATGGAATATTTCTCAGCCATCAAAAAACACATTTGAGACAGTCCTAGTGAGGTGGATGAGCCTAGAGCATGTGAAACAGAGTTAGGTAAGTCAGAAAGAGACAAAAATATTGTATATTAATGCATATATAGGGACTCTATAAAAATGGTACTGATGACTTTAAAAGTTATATATATATTTATTTTAGACTAAGGCTGCATTGAAAGCAATGTATTATCTTTATCACCAGCTAGACATTGAAAATTGAATTATAATAGTTTTGTTTTTATTAAAACATCTATAATTTTAAAATAAATTATTCTTTTTTTCCATTTATTTTTATTAGTTGGAGGCTAATTACTTACAACGTTGCAGTGGTTTTTGTCATACATTGAAATGAATTAGCCATGGATTTACATGTATTCCCCATCCCGGTCCCCCCTCCCACCTCCCTCTCCACCCCATCCCTCTGGGTCTTCCCAGTGCACCAGGCCCGAGCACTTGTCTCATGCATCCAACCTGGGCTGGTGATCTGTTTCACCCTAGATATACATGTTTCGATGCTGTTCTCTTGAAACATCCCATCCTCGCCTTCTCCCACAGAGTCCAAAAGTCTCTTCTATACATCTGAGTCTCTTTTTCTTTTTTTGCATATAGGGTTATCGTTACCATCTTTCTAAATTCCATATATATGTGTTAGTATACTGTAATGGTCTTTATCTTTCTGGCTTACTTCGCTCTGTATAATGGGCTCCAGTTTCATCCATCTCATTAGAACTGATTCAAATGAATTCTTTTTAATGGTTGAGTAATATTCCATGGTGTATATGTACCACAGCTTCTATTGTAAATACATTTTTAAACTGTTTATCACTAGTTTTGTATTCTGCTTTTTAATTTTAGTAGACCATTTTAGAGAAAAATAAGTGCTTTTGAAACCATATAAAGGTAATTTTAGTTTGTGCTCTTATCTCAGACTCTGTAAATAATATCAATTCTCTGTCAGTAGATTTGGGGGTAAAGGGGATGGAAGCTGAGGACCTGTATATTTTCACTGCAGTGAAAGTGAAGTCATCTGCAGACACTAACGTTCTGATGGATGGTTCAAGGATGCTTCAGTAGTAGCAGCACATAGGCCTAATTTCTCCAAGGCATGTGGGATCTTAGTTCTCCAACCGGGGATTGAACCTGTGTCCCTTGCATTGGCAGGCAGATTCTTTACCACTGAGCCACCAGGGTAAGCCCCATGTGCTGCTTGCATGCCTGCATGCTAAGTTGCTTCAGTCATGTCAGATTCTTTGCGACTCTAAAAACTGTAGTCTGCCAGGCTCTTCTGTCCATGGGATTCTCCAGAGGAGAATACTGGAATGGGTTGCCATGCCCTCCTCCAAGGGATCTTCCTGAACCAAGAATTAAACCTGGGTCTCTTGCAGCTCCTGCACTGCAGGTGAATTCTTTACTGCTGAGCCACTGGGGAACCCCCATGTGCTGCTTCGGGATCATCAAATTGATGAAAACTCCTTATAGAAGCAGGGTTTCCAGACCTGCCTAGAAAGTGAAAAATCATTATTCACTTAATTTTTGTTTCTTTCAAAAAACTTCTTCATGGGAAATATGAATGTTCTAGACTAGCAACAAAAAAACATTTCAAATCTTTCTCAGAGAGAGTAGTTTGTTTCTGGTAAGTCTATAACATATCAGAGTCTCAACTTGCCCTTGGATCCTAATGGAAGATACCTCTGGTACAGGAGAATTATTTGTATGTTTCCCAATTCTTATGTTGGGACTAGCACACTGAAACCAACATTTTCTTGACATGAGAAAGAGTCATAAAAATTATTAACACCTCTTACTTTATCTCTATGTTAAAATTATGATCCTGACAATCCTCAAAATAATTCTCAGATTCATCAGTAAGCTAGGTGCTTATTCCTTGTCCTCTTTTTCTTCTGTTTTTATCCGTCTTCTTCCCTTTTCCTTCCCTTCATTTTCTCCATCTCTTACTGCTCTCTCACTCTCCTTCTAGATGACTCTAGATTTCTCTCATGACTGCTCCCCCCACTGGGTCCCCCCTTCTTCCCACCAGAGATATTGTGCAGGTGCAGCCCTGTCTGTCCCAGTGTGCCCCTCTCAGGATGCAGTAGTACACAGCGGTGTCTCTCAGGGTGACCTGGGGCAGGACCAAGGTGCTGGACTTTCTGTCTGAAGCTATGGTCAGAGAGGCCAGGCTGCTGTTCACTGTGCCTTGTAAGCCACAAATGACATACTGTGGACTCTGATTGGGATATTGCCGATACCAGTGTATATAGTCATTTCCACCAATGGTAGAGTGGTTACAAGGCAGGTTTACATCTTCTCCTTCAGCACAATCCATGGAGCTGGGCTGGGTGGTTTTAGCATTAATCACAGTCCCTAAAGGGTCAAGAAAATAAAATTAGCCCCTGAAAACAAATCAGTGTAATCCTGTGGATCAAGGGCACAACACTCCATAAACTGGGCCTACCTCCTACTCCAGTGTTTTTATCTATGTCCTGAGAAATATTATTGGTGCTTATTATACAGGGACCAAAGACACATGGCAAGAATCTAAGAACTCTATAGGCTTTATCCCATGTTTTTTGGCTCAATAAATAACCCCTGAAATTTCTTCCAAACTGCTTACTGCTAAGGTCTCTTCCAGATCATGGCTATGAATTAACCTGTCATGTAGAAGTTTGTACTCCCTAGCATATGCAGAGATCTGTTCTCAATTCCATTGCTATAATGCTGAATAAAACACAGGAAGGAGAGTAGACAGCAAATGACACTTTACAGTCCCTTGGCCTCAAAGTCATCCCTTGTAGACACAGAACACTTACCCAAGGTCAGAAAAACAGTTACTCCAACCACCAGCCTCATACTTCAAGGACAAACCAGGATTGTGGGCTCAGAGCTCACACTTATGTCTGCTCCTGGGCTTGTCTCCAGAGAACAGAAACAACTACTGCTGTTAGAGACCCACAACCAGTGCAGGTGTCTGTTGTAGTGTGTTGTTGCCAGGATCTGTCAATCAGTGATCAAGCAGTTCCTTGTCTAGGTCTTCCTCCCCTGTTTTAGTCACATCCTGCAAAGAAGGCGAGACACCCCCAACTCACAGCATGCCGACTGCTATCCATTGTGAAGTTTAAAGTCTGGCTCCGAAAACGGAACACTCATCATGATGGTGTGTCTATCCAGAACCATTGTTCTATCATTTCTTCTTCAAAGAAATTTTCTGATGCTCCATGAAGCTTGTGGAAAACATTGTTTAATCCCAGAAAACTGTACTGAGCTCTGAACTGTAAAGAGATAAAAATTCCCATCCGTGTTCTAGCAAATGTATGTGAGATTTCAAAGTAGGCTGTGATTGCTCTGAGGGACAGGAAATATTAATAACATTGGGACAAAAAGCTAAACGTCTTGAGCTTGGACATTGGAGCTCAGCGTCCTGAAAAGGTCCTTGGAATCATGCATCTG